GAAGAAGAAGAAGAAGAAGAAGAAGAAGAAGAAGAAGAAGAAGAAGAAGAAGAAGAAGAAGAAACATGGAGGAGTTGAAGATGACAAACGAGGAGGAAAAGGGAGAGGAGGGGGAGGAGGAGGAGGAGAGTAAAGAAGAAAAACAAAACAAAGGATGAGGAGAAAGCACAGAGATTCACAACAAACAAGTCAAGGAAAAAGAAAACCACAAAAAAGGAGAATCGACAAATCTCACAAGTTCTAATCTGGCACAAGACTCACCGTCCGAATCCACATTGGTATTTTCCTCACTGCCCACATGCGCCGGCCTCGGAGAATATTTCCCAGAATCCTCGCCGTTGCCGGCAGAGCCAGCACTACTTCCTGCGCCGGTCGGCATCAGGGGGAGAAGATTGGTCAGGACGGGTGGGGGGTTCATCTCGCCCGCCCCGCGGTGGTAAGGCTGAGGGTTCGAACCCTGCGACGGTGGGGGCGGAGGCAAACTCACCACCCCTCCCCCTCCGGGCACCACGATCGGGTGCTGGGGTCGGGAGGACGCTGACAAAGCCGCTGATACTTTCTCCCCGGCTCCGCCACCCAGAGGGTACTGCCCCACGGAGCTCTGCCGCACCACGCCGATGTGCTGCGACCTCTGGGAAGGCGGCTCCCCGTCATGACCTTGACCTCTGGCCTGATGGACGGGGAGGTCGCCGATAGCCTCCCGCCTGACGATGGTCTGCTGGTGTGGGTGGTGGTGGTGTCCACCGCCCCCCGACGCCAGGATCACGTCCCCCGCCTGAGCGGCCGGGTGCTGGAACCGGTTCTCCATGGCTCGGTCCTGGGCCAGGGGGTACGTCGCCGGCTCCATCTGACGAGGGCGGCCCACCGCGCCCATCCCCAGGCCACCCGCCGGCCCTCCCACAAAGCCCGCCACGCCGGAGGCCTCGGAGGCGAAGCGCTGGCGCTCGTGTTCCGTGAGGGAGTGTAGCTGCAGCTGTCGCACCAGGGTCGAGTCTCGGCTCACCTGCACCAGCCAGGAAGGAGTTTTAGTTATAGTAGAGGTTTTACGGCGCTCGCAACTGCATACGGTCATATGACCGCCAGAAGAATAGAGGCGTTACAAGAGAGTAACAAACATAAAAAAGATGGAGGACAGATTATAAGGACGATAGATGTTTGATAGGAAAGAAGGAGCAAACCATACCAGGGCACCCGTCAACCACCCATGTCCTG